CTAATTCGAGGATTTACGGTAACTGACTGTACGCACCCATGTGACTATCTAAATATAAAAGAGTGTAAAAATACCACGTCTCTATCTCTTAACTAAAAAAAACATTACTGATTCCGACAGCATAGCCTTGGGCCATGCGATACTCTAGTGACTGCCGGGAGATCCCACCACGGTCACAGGAACTGGGACCCAGAACCCAGTGCTCCCCTGTCAAAGAGACGAGCTCTGGGACCAAGAATGAGAAATAACCTTGATCACCGTACAAACACACAATAATTACATGTAATTAATATACTCTGGATGTGTTTGTCACCCATCACCAGGGCCTTCTAAAGAATAACTCAGTCCCCTCAAGTGGCTATGCTGCTTAAAGCAGTGGTAAGATTTTGGAGGCATGTTGGTTGATCATATTAACATGGTCCACTGTAGTTAATCTCCTATTCAACTTCTATGTTTGTTCGTTAAGCTACATCACATATACTACTACTGTCTACCTAAATCAACGCTGTGAATGGCGCAGTTCCAAAGAAACTTCCATACCAAGCGATAAGTCAAATCTGGAACTTACTAAACCCAGTAGGTCAGAAATAAAGTTGATAAGAAACATTGAAATGACAACAAGCTAAAATGAGAGCTCGAAGACTACTGACTAGGAGATGTTGTTTTCTGAGGAGAGAAGAATCAGGAACTCTCAAGGCACAAAGAACTGTTGCCACCAAGACTGATAAAATACTAGCTTTTGACCACTGGGTCCTTATTCCTGAGGATGTATCTATGACTTGGTCAGTGCAGATACTGCGAGCAGTCTCTTTTTCTCGAAGCTCCATGGGGAAGAACGCAAAGAAGATCGCCACAGAAGCGAGCGGTGGGCCGTGAGCGTGCGAGCGTGATATGCGAAGCCTCGAGCCGAAAGTGGCCCGGGCGTCGGAAGACGAGCCCTTGTCTTCCGACGCCCGCGCTACTCGCATGTCACGCTCGAAGTCACGCCCGCACGCTCAGGTGTTTTGCGTTCTTCCCCCACCGATTTCCGAGCAAAAGAGAGACTGCTCGCAGTCTAGGTCAGCCCTGCCCCTGGCGCTTCCCTTCAGCCTCAGGAGCTCAGCACCGGCGTGCAGCCAGACCTTTTCAGTCCATAGCGCCTGGCTCCTTTCTGTAACATGTATCGCGTCTGAGCCGACCTCCAGCATTTAATACCATAGCAACAGCTAAGTTTACCTTAAGCTACTTTAAGTATTAGTTGCAGGTGCAGTGCATAGTCCACTCCCTTCCGAACTAGTGTCTGCTAGCACCGAGCCCTCATTAGTGTCACACTCGGTAATAGTTTCAACGTTCATCACGGTTGACGTTCCATCTTCTCCACTGTTCAGCCCTTGATTTGATTCTCGATCAAGCGCAATTTCCGATTCTTGGAGATGTTTGGACGACGTCTCTCTTTCTGAAAGTTCAACCTTCGTTGGAGAATTTGCAGCACTATTTTCTCCTTGAATGTCAATCTCCATGGCAACGGACATTTGAAGCATTGTTGCATCACTCGACCCAGCATCCGCACGGTTTACTGTGCTGGCACTTAGCTCAGAATCTGCAGCATTGTCTACAACTTCGCCTTCTGTCACGTCGCCTCTCAAAGCTTGATTATGGGATTGGTCTGACGTGACCTGCGTGACTTTCTGCGTCACGCCATCTTCCTTACTGGTCAATTGATCAGTTTCCATTGATTCTGAAGTGGTTTCAATACATTCCACATTGCCCCCTTGTTCTGAGAGGTTCGTTGAATCATTAACAGCAACAACAAGCTCGTCGACAACATTTTCCATGTTACCTTGGTTTGTTTCCATGAACTCGTTTTCCTCTGCTGTCACGCACGCCACTTCTGTTTCCTCTTTGTCACGCTCGAGCAGCGTGATCTGCTCTACTTGTCCCTGTGTTGTATTCACTTGCACAACAACCTCTGTTGATCCAGAATTCTCAACCAGCATTTCTTGAAAATTTTCCTCTTTTTTCATCTCCACTTGCTCGGTGACCATGGACTTGGAAGGTACACTTGTTTCTTCCTTTAGCTCTTTAGATTTCTGTGCTACTCCAGGATCCTCGACCAACATTTCTGGAACATGTTCCTCTTTGTCCACATCCAATTGCTCAGTGACCATGGACTCGGAAGATGTACTTGTTTCTTCCTTGATATCTTTAGTATTCTGTGAAGCGCCACGATTCTCAACCGACATTTCTTGAACATGTTCCTCCTTTTTCGCATCCACTTGTTCAGTGATCATGACTTCCGAAGGTTCACTTGTTTCTTGCTTCAGTTCTTTAGAATTCTGTTCTTGAACCTCCTTAACTTCCTCCTGCCTCTGATTAGCCTCAGACTGATCCGTGTTCGTCTGTGAAGTGCTGGGGTTGGTCAACAGTATCGGTGGCGGGAGGGACTAAGAACGAACAGTATATTACTTCTTCAGTATTAGGTCCCGCAACTTCTTCAATACAAATAAGGATTTCATTTACATCTCCTCTCATGAAGCCATATTAAAGATAATTTCTATTAACACAGGAGCTCATTAAGGACAACAATAATTATTGTTACATGTATTGTTCTGTTACAGGCCAATCTAAGGTGCTTTTGTTGAGAAACATCCAAACATGGATGGTTGCAAACTACTGTTAGGTCAGTGTGCAAGTCAGACCGGTCGGAC